TTTTTTTTTTTTACACAATAATTTAAATTTTGAAAAAAAATATTGAAACACATTTAAAAATTAAAAACAATACAAACTGAATTATTCTTTTGAGTCATTTGTAAGAATTATATTCTGCCATAACATTGTATAAGTGTAATATTATCTATTTAGAAATGTGACAATATATAAATACAATGATACTCTCCATTTAAAAATTTCCATTCAATAAATACTTTGCTAATGATCTACTTTCTTTATCATCAGAAGTTTAATTGTACTTTCTCCATTTTTTAACATTTCTGTACATATATTTCATTTATTTTTGCAAACTTTGGAAATCCATTTTAGTAATTCTTATAAACTAAATCACTATAATTTTCATTACAATTTTAATTTAAATGAAAGAAAATCAAATGCAATTTCTTAAATCAAGTTTTTTCAATTATGATCCATTTCTTGAAATAGAGATATAAAGCAAAATTTATGAATATTCAGTATGAAAATACATAACATCAACTGTGAATCAATATAGAATTAATATGAAAGTTTTGAAAATTAAATATTAATCCTATATTAATTCAAATTACTACAATAAGTTTACACAAGTATTTTTTCAGAATTAACTTAATTTAAATTTTATCCAGAATAAGATTTACAACTTTTCTTTAACATTATCATCATTTTGCTTTGTTCATTCTTGCTTCTTCTTGAAAATTATTTGAATTTATTGATTTAATAAATAGTAAAATATTAAAAAAATAATAATTATATATTACATAAATGTATTAAAACTAACATATTTTTATTCATCAAATCAAATCCTAAAACATTTAATCCAAAGAAGAAACTAAATACAAAATTTNTTTTTTTTTTTTACACAATAATTTAAATTTTGAAAAAAAATATTGAAACACATTTAAAAATTAAAAACAATACAAACTGAATTATTCTTTTGAGTCATTTGTAAGAATTATATTCTGCCATAACATTGTATAAGTGTAATATTATCTATTTAGAAATGTGACAATATATAAATACAATGATACTCTCCATTTAAAAATTTCCATTCAATAAATACTTTGCTAATGATCTACTTTCTTTATCATCAGAAGTTTAATTGTACTTTCTCCATTTTTTAACATTTCTGTACATATATTTCATTTATTTTTGCAAACTTTGGAAATCCATTTTAGTAATTCTTATAAACTAAATCACTATAATTTTCATTACAATTTTAATTTAAATGAAAGAAAATCAAATGCAATTTCTTAAATCAAGTTTTTTCAATTATGATCCATTTCTTGAAATAGAGATATAAAGCAAAATTTATGAATATTCAGTATGAAAATACATAACATCAACTGTGAATCAATATAGAATTAATATGAAAGTTTTGAAAATTAAATATTAATCCTATATTAATTCAAATTACTACAATAAGTTTACACAAGTATTTTTTCAGAATTAACTTAATTTAAATTTTATCCAGAATAAGATTTACAACTTTTCTTTAACATTATCATCATTTTGCTTTGTTCATTCTTGCTTCTTCTTGAAAATTATTTGAATTTATTGATTTAATAAATAGTAAAATATTAAAAAAATAATAATTATATATTACATAAATGTATTAAAACTAACATATTTTTATTCATCAAATCAAATCCTAAAACATTTAATCCAAAGAAGAAACTAAATACAAAATTTGACAAAAATTGAATAACTAACTAAAAATACAAATTTAATATTTCTATTAAATTGATAAATAATGAAATTTATTTAACTCTATAACATATTTAATAAATTTAGAAAATAAAATATAATATATATACCAATATTAACTAATTATAATTCCTTAGAATTGTATAATTCTTCTGATTACTTCACATTTATTGAGATAATTATATTTAAATCTTATTTTGAATAAAGTAAATAAAATAATATCTTCCTCAAAATATTTTAATTTACTTTAACAATTCTATATTTTAAGAAATAATTAGACAAAATATAAAAAATAATTGAAAATTCAAGTTAACTAGCATATTAAAACAGCACTTAAATAATTATTTATGTATTAAAATCAAACAAAATTATAATTTATCTAAACTGAAAAAAACATACACAAAACTATTAAATTAGCAACTAGAAAAATACACTATATACATAGGTACTGTACAACCAATTAACTACAGTGTATAGTATTAAATGGTTTAAAATTAGATGAAGAATTACAAAAATCTTTAAAAATCATCAAAAAATTTTTAGAAAATATTAAAATCGATTCATATATGAAATGAAATAATGCATTAATAGAAATAAAAACATCTTAAAATATAAGAAGTCAGTAATAATATTTTACCAGAACTAATGATAAGAACAAAACTTGCTAAGCATACAGATTGCATAAAGCACATATTTTTGATGACAGGAATCAAGGAAGATTACTTCTGTGGGAGTGTAATCAATTCTTTCTATAGACACTCCTGTGGGGGAGTAATCCTGTCCTTCTTTGAAAGGATTACCATCCCACAAAAATGATTTTCCTTGATTCCTGTCATCAAAAATATATGCCTAATGAAATCCATATGTTTGCCAGGAGATGCAAGTACTTTCTCATCAGCAATATTATCATTTTAAAAGAACCAGAATATATGAAAATGTATCTACTTACTTATTTATCATCTAGATCAATAATGGCAAACTGCAACCTGCATGAAAATTTCAAGGAATCTGCATTCAATGTTTAGAAAGTATCAGATGTTTTAAATTACAAAATGTAATTGATAGATTTTAAAATTTTGCATAAACAGTTTGTAGTGTGAAATCAGGATCCTAAAGCTCTCATGAAAGTCTCAAAGACCATTAATTATGAACCTCAGACAAAAAATGACATCAAATAAACAGCAGCAGTAAAGTTCAAATTTTGTGGGAAATTGGAATAAACTGTAACAGAAATAAATATATCCACTAAGGAACTTTACTCCCAGCAGCAGATTTCCCATTAAATGAAATATTTGTTTCTGTTATTATCACATTATAGTTTTCTTTTCACTTATATAAAGTTTATTGTTATCTGACAGGTTAAAAAGTTAAATAAAGTAAAATTTATAAGCATTTTTTTGTTTTTTAATTAATTACTCAAATTAAATATTTGAATGAGATTTGGTATTACTAAATTTCAAATTCAATTTCAAACCAGGATTAGAAAATGCTTTGCCATCACTGATCTAAATTATAATATTAGTTTCTGATAATTTATAAACAAATAAGTTTACAAAAATATATATAATTTTACTTGATATATTTATTACTATGAAATGAGTATAGAATGTATTACTTCAAAATTATCAAGGATGAACTAGTTATTGTAATTACAGTACTCTAATGAATTAATCAATGTACCTTCAACAGTAGGTAAAGTTTAAAGAACACTAACGTTTTCAGCCCATTAACTGGCTTTTAATTTCAACTGTCCATATCTGAAAATGGTCCATCAAAACATGTTAGTGCTATTTAAACTTCAAGTACTATTAAAAGTAAATTGATTAAGTCATCTTCAAAATTATCTTTTACAAACGTGAAAAAATACTTTTAATACATAAATATTTTAATTATTAATGAAATTGAAGTAAATAGTTCAATAATTGTAATAAGAAGTTCAAATAATTTTTTTTTTAAATATCTTTAAAAATATATCTAAAAATAAGCATAAATTAAAAATTAAAAACAATTCTCTATACCAAGAATGGATCCTAATTTGAAAATATGTTCTATTTTATTTCATTTATTATTATAATTACTATAAATTGATTTAATTAATATGTCTCTAAATTATAAACATAACTGAAAAGGTGAATAAATTAATATAGACATTCTTATTTAAACAATGATTAAACTACAATAAAGAATAAATAAAAACATTATGTGTGTTACCAATAATCTCTACTAACATTTCACATGTTTATATTCTATTGTTTAAATATTCTCTAAATAATTATTCTTAGCAGATGAAATTTATTTTTAGCAAAAATTTATAAGTGGTTGCAAAAACATTAAAATTCAGTAAAACTGTAATGGAATTATCACACAGTATAAAAATTTTGGTATAAAAACCTATTAAGATGAAATTTTTGAATTTTTATCAAACTGTAATAATATTACTTTATATTTCTGTTTCATTATAAAGATCTAAAATAAACTCATCTAAATTTTATATTAATTTTATCAAGTTTAATAATACACAGCTATAATAATTAATTAGAATAACTGTTGCTATTTTGTAATTCTTCAATAAAATAAAGTTAAATGAAAAAAAATTTTAAATCTTATTTGTGGTAATGTAGAATTAATGTTAATTACACCTCAACATATATGGAAAGAACAACAGCATAATGTTTATAAAAATAAATATACATATTTGATATTTTAAACTTAAAATAATAGCACTATTTTTCTGCTCAAAAGTCTGGAATAATTAAATATATTAAAATATGAATTGAATAAAATATTAATAGAGATATCATTAGTAACA